TTTTTATTTACTGTACATACATACATAAACCTCCGCCCTTGGAATGTCCAGATGCAGCAGTTCGGTCACTTCTAATCAAGAAGTGTGTTTCCAGTTCGAAAAGAGTATCAGGAATGTTGTCATGGAGTAAAACAAAGCAAACATGCATTCCTGTAGCTATGCAAAAATTTCAAATTCGCTTGCAGTTCATCAAACTTGTTTTGGAGTGATCTTACGTTCCCAAGTATAATCGTCGGGAGTGGTACTTTAAAACCACGTTTTTTCAATCGTTGGCGTATGCCTCCCCTTTTCCCACATTTCCTAATTGATTGACGGATTTCGGCAATAATGTCCAAATCCTTTGGTCTAGGTCCCGCATTCGATCTGTAGGTAAGTAGCTCCTCTCGCGTATACGTTATCCGTGCCGTTAGCGTACCGCGGGAAACAGGCTCATACTCTAGGTCTACCAGGCCTAGCTCTGAAACATCAGTCATTGTCAAAAGGACGGTAAAAACAACTAATAACGAACACTCAAAAGCTGGTGTCACAGATTTAAGCTTAAAATGTGCTGAAAACGTGTTAAAACAAGTAACAAAACGTATTACTGTATATACAGCTTATAAGAAAACATAGTGTTCAGAGACAATTCGAAATGCTGACTTGTCGCCACAGAGCAGCGCCACCAATCTAGAAGGTCTAGCCCATCTGTCTGAAGGTCTAGCCCATCAAGCTAGAAGGTCTAGCCCATCTGTCTAGCCTATGTCTGAATCGGAGAAACATGTGAGAGTTAAGCCAAGGAGATGAGCTTGCTTGATGGAAGCACTACGCATACTAAGTACGCATGCGTATCACTAGGCAGATTTCTATGGAAGTTGGAAAAAGTGCGTATTGATTGATCATAGAAAAAGAAGATTGATTGATTTAACTGATTGATATAATTTATTCAGTATAAAAACAAAAATTAAATAAGAAAATTAATACAGTAGTAGTAAACAGATTTCCTTGCCTTGGTTCACTGCTGGACTGGTGTATTCTTTGACGCAAACTAGGTCAAATATACCGTTCACAAATTTTCACACTACACACTAACGTCACCTCGGTCCCCATCGTTGTGTGGTGGAGTTCAAATTTTATTATGAAATTTATGCCATGATCCATAAAAATGAAACTATGATGGTAGGCCTAGAGGACCGGTAGGCTATTTTTTAATTACCAAAACTAACAGCAATTGCTGAATGATATTAGGCCTAGTATGGTATATTCAAATTGCTAGAAACACCCGAAACCACTGCTACTCTAACATGTAAAATTCCCGGCCCTTTCGATGCCGGTTACATCTATGGATGAATTTTAGTTATGTCGCCGGCTTAGTCCCGACCAGTGCCCCGCTATGGCCCGGGTCCCGGGGAACTACAATTGACAAATGCATAGTCGCAATACTACTGTAAAGACGATGCACAGTAGTTAATCCAAATTTCCTTCGAAGACCAAAAGAAACTTGAAATACCAATTAGATTGTCCATTATGTGAACATACTGTAATATGTATTAACTGCCAAAAATCCAAAATATTTACGATTTACTGTAGTAGAAATCTAAATAAGAAAATTTTCAAACAAAATTTTTTCTAGTCAATTTTTTTATTCTATGGTGCCCTGTCTTTCGAATATGATGAGGCGAGACTGTTTTATTCCTTGTTTCGCATACTTATTTAAAGATCATCGGTGGAGGGCTGAATAAAAATAAAAATAAAATTGTGTGTTCTGATTTAACAAATAGTTTTGCCAAAAACATCCAGACGGAGTAAAAAATAAAAATAAAATGTGAATGCAAAATCCAGGATCAAATCTATATAATTAGGAAGAAATTGTCTTATCCTTGGACATTTCAAGGCAGCGGAGGGTGTAATAAAAATAAAGAAAAACTTTTTTTTTTTCAGAAATTTCCACTTTTTCATGACACTGGCAGGTGCGCTAATTGGCCAAAAATTTGAAATCATCAATATTTGCAGTCGGTGGGATTCGAAAAACAAAGTATAAAAAAAGTCTCGCCTAACCATGAAAACATTTTCACATTGTTTTACTTATATAAATGTAAATCTTAAGACATGGTATGAGGATCAAAATAAAGGGGGATTTCTACTGGATAAAATACTGGTTTCGGAGGCAGTACAGTAGGAATGAGGCACATAAAAGACCCACACTTTTATAGTGGTTAGAAGTGTTGTCAGGCACAGAATCAATCCCATGACAGACCAGCAAGCCAAAAATGATTTCTTGTGATCCAGGTTTTAGTCCTTATCTTGGTAATCCAACTATCAACCAATGATAAGGGAACCGTTCTACTGATTTTCAATAGAAATACATTTATTCAGAATTCCAAATCTGAAGAGATATGTGACAAGTTCATAAGTAAATAAATTTTTGTCTAAATATACTCTGCTGTTGATAAGCAAATTCTTTGTAACCTACAGTACAGCAAACTACACAGTAGATAGTAGGCCTAGAGTAGTAATGTGAAGGTCATTACTACTTTACCTTGATAAAAACTGCAGATGAACTAATAATGCCAAATGCCAAATAGAAATCAGGAAAGCAAGTGGTGCTGATGCATCTTTTTATTATTGCTTTTAATTAATACTTTTAATATCTTGTTGCTGATCTGATTCATGTGAGTTTTAATGTGCGTGTAATGTTCTTGCCAATTTGAAATTTCAACTTCATTGTTCAACTCTTACAGTCTTGCAATTTTACTGAATTTTAATATGCTGTTTAATTTTGGCTTTCTGAATTTCTTTTAGTGATCTGACTTGTGAATTTCAATGTGCGTGTGATGTTCCAATTAGAATATTATTGCTTAACTTTCTGTGTTGCAACTTATATGCTGCTGAAATTTGCCTCCAGACTTTTAGCTCCCAATTTTGACTTTTCTGTCTTTTGTTAACTTAGTCCTTGTCTACTTTATTGTAAAGTACATTTGAGCAGCATAGTTTAATGGAATTTGCACAATATAAATGATAAATTATTAATAAATTAAAATTATTAAAAGCTACAGTATAATCTGTACTACAGTACTGTATAACTTTATTTTCAAATTAATGTGTTAATCAAATGTTCTAAATATCACTGTTTTATCAGTTTTTTTTACAATATTGTTCCATTTCCGAAAAAAGGAAACAATTAGTTTAATGTACTTCCTTGTACCAGCTGGTACAGTAGGCCATTTTAGATTATATCACTTATTCACACTTACACTCATACTGTCTACACTGTATGTATCTTCTTTAATTCTATATTTTAATTCTATATACTTCTAACTCAAGGGTAATTCAACTCAAGTCCTCCATCCATGTAGTGTAGGAATGCCTAGCCTACTAGGCCTAGGCTAGTAGACCTAGGCCTAGCCTAGGCTAGTCTCTGCAAGGCAATTCAACAGAAGGACGCACATCTCCACTCTCGAACATAGCGTGTGCGTACAGTCCTTTGATCTTTACTGTGGCATCGACAATCCGATACTAGTTGGAAGTACAGCCGTCAATTATTAGTCTATGCGTGCCATACGTTTTATGGTGTTAGTTACTATTTTATTAATTTTGACTGCAATTTGATTTGTGAAAATTGACCAAGAAAATGAAAAGTTAGAGCAAATTTTACAAATTTTATAAAATTTCTTGTTCTTATGTAACATTAAACTGTCATTTTGACAACGTTGGACTAAGGTGCACAAAACGAACATTTGAGTAGATACAGAAAATGTATTAATTTTTTTTGCAAAGTGAGTCTCATGAACGACAATACACCACAACATCGGTAAAATTAATGTTGAAATGAAGAATATAATTTCAGTCTAATGTTAGTGCAAAATATCATTAAGCCTTTGTAATCACCGCACGGCGCGCGATTATCATGGCAACAAACACGCGAGTGGGTAATTCATCACACACTGACGGTTAAATGGTTCGGTTGCTATGGTTTTTGTGACGTTCAGCGTGTAGGGACGCGCGGCCTAGAATGTCGATGCTAGCTTTACAACCTTTGATGTCCCGAGATGTGCGTCCTGTTGAATTGCCTTGGTCTCTGCCCTTGTCTTCAGGAAAGAAAATATGAATGAAAAAAGAAAAAGAAAGAAAGAAAAATATGGAAGAAAAATGAAGATGACAGTCAAAAATGTGTGGTACTGGTACAGTACAGTAAAATGATTAGGGCAAATAGAAAAATTTATTAGATTATTACTCCTGCCTGCGTCAAAAATTCGGGAAATTATTGGAGCGGGAATAATTTTTTTAATTTTTTGCCGCATCAATTATCAAGTCATAAAAAAATAACAATGCAATTTTGTGACTTCAAATACATTTTCTTAAAAAAAACTATAGAATTAAACCAGTTTCTATACAATATTTACCATTAATAGCCAAATATAAAGTCCCACCCTGATAAAAACAAAAGCAAAATAATCTAGACTAGGCCCTATTTATTGTTCCGATTAAAAAACAAAAAAAAAAGTCGCCCGCCCTCATCAAATTTAAAAAAAAAAAAAAGACTGATAATCTAAATAACTTTTTCTATGCGCCCTTAATATTTCAACATAGTATCATGTGTTTGAATATTGCCAAGCTAGGCCTAGCCTAGGCCATATCTCCTGGTACCCTGCCGCGCTTAGCACGGTCGATATGGTAATTCAACACACAGCCCTGTTGAAATTCCGCCGGGGCTCGTCGAAGAGAAAATTTAATTTCAAGGCCACATTTTACATTACTTAGTATGTACAGAATGCTGTATTTCAGTACACAGATTGGCCGGGTGATACATCTTATAATTTACAATAATAATAATATCAATGCAATAACATAGGCCTCAGGCTCTAGGCCCCTATATATTATATTCATGATAATAATCTTTATTAATATTATACATCCTGTAAGCGTAGAGAGAACATATGGTAAGTAAGCTTATGTCAACCCAATGTGATGGCTAAATTAAAGTAAAAGATAATTAAGAAGATCCAGTAAGATTTCGAACCTACCATGTTTGGCATGAATGGAAAGATCTAACAATCCTCGACGAAGCTTGGGTGAATGCACGCATCATATTGTGGGTTAATGTGAATTAACAATTAGCAAGATAACTGCTGACAACCATGAAGCTCGATGATGCTTTCGTCCGTGTTTATTTTCTGTCGAATCTTATAACTAAATTATTTACAGTCGGGGAGTCCCCTTCGAAGTACTGTATACTGTATTTTATTGCACGATGATAGTGTATTCATTCGTAACAACGTAGTTCATAGCGTGCGCCAACGGTGTCTAGAATAAAATAAGTAGAGGGCGTCCTTTTAAGTTCATCCATTGGATACGATGCTGTATGATAAATTCTTTAACCAACAACGTCCATTGGATACGATGCTGTACTGTATGATGATAATATACATACTGCAGTAGTAGTAGTAATATATATAATATAAATAATAATATATATATATATAATAATAATAATAATAATAATAATAATAGTAATAATAACAACAATAACAGCAACAACAATAATAATAATAATAATAATAATAATAATAATAATAATAATAATAATAGTAACAATAACAATAACAATAATAATAATAATAATAATATAATGATGATAATAATAATAATAATAACTAGAGATACTATGTTCAATAGAACATGAACCCAGTCATTTTTTAAGAGATAACCACTGTGACCTTTAATCTCAACCTGTGAACACCCCATGTTTGGTAGAAGTCTGTCTAATGCAATTGGTTCAATCGTTAGTCACTAGAAATACTTGATAATTTTCACTATAGTGACCCTTGTGAATTTTTACCTATAGATGAAGAGTAGTTTTTCATGTTTAAAAGGTCCTAAGGATCATTCCCGGTCAATTCGAGCTCAATTGGGCTATTTTGAAAATTTGACCCCTATGTAGCCACTGATACCAAACAGGGGTGTAGGAGGTGTCACTGGTTCTTAATGGTCAAATTTGATTGAATTCGGTTCAACCGTTTGCTATTAGTAACATTTTGAACCTTTGACCTATGAACTTTGACATATGGGGTAAAGAGTATTTTTTTGTGTGTTTAGAAGGTAGGATCATTCCTGGTAAATTTGAGCTCAATTGGGCTATTTTGAAAACTTAACCTAGACGACCCCTATGTGACCCCTGATCCCAAACTGGGGTGTAGGAGGTGTCGCCGGTTCTTAATGACAAAATTTGATTGAATTTGGTCCAATGGTTTGTCATTAGTAGCATTTCGAAATGTTACTAGAGAGAACAAAAGAATAACCCTTTAATGACCTTTGACCATAAATCGCTGAACACCATAAAGACCCTACCTTATGCCAATACATATGTACCCAGGACAAGACTGTGCTATGTTATTTGTGACAGAAGAAGTCTTTTATTCATTTTTTTGAAGTTTTTTACCCTAATGACCCCTGTGTGACCTTTGACCCCAAGCAGCGAACACCCATGTATGAGAGGTGTCACCGATTATACTGACCAGGTTTGGTTGAAATCAGTACAACCGTTTGGCACAGTAGCGTTTTAAAATGTTGCCAGAAAAAAGATAAAAATTACCCCTTAATGACCTTTGACCTGTGTGCTTCACAAGAACAACCCCCCCCCCCTAAAAAAAAAAGCAAAAAATATAAAATACAAAAGATTAAAACATGTTAGGAAGTCTTTGACTGGCACAAAAGAATGAAAAAGTGATCACCATCGCCACCATATTCCTTTGTATGTGAAAATGCAAGTTACACATTTGCCCTGCCACAGACAACAGCGTGCTTAGAGATAGAGCCCAAGACATTCTATCAAACCAGAGCCTTGCAGGCGTCAACAGGCCCGTATCCAGGGGGGATTTTTATGGTTCGGGAGAACCCCTTTTTCTTGCAAACCCCCTCTTTTCTGGCGAACACCCCCTCTTTAAATTTCCCATAAGTCCTCCAACCCAACTAATGCACTGCAGACCCACCCAGACACATACGTTTTCAAACATATCTGCTTTTATAGCATTATTTAGACCAATAAAGCTTCTTTAAGAAGAACTTAAAAAGTCATTAAAAAGACATTTCAGAAGTCAGGGAAGGTCATTTCCCGCATTCTAGAAATCGAAATTTCCCCGGGGGAACTTTTTCTTTGGGGTTCATTGGTTCTATTGAATCATTTTCAAGAGGGGGAAACCTTGATTTTTGAAGAAATTAGAAGTAATTAAAAGACACCTCATAAGTCGGGAAAGCTCATTTCCCGCTTCTAGGAAACAAAATGTTCCCGGGGGAGAACCCCCCGACCCCCTTTCTTTTTGGAATTTTGGGAAAAAATTACCTGACCGTTTTCAAGAGAGGAAACCTTGAATTTTGAAAGAACTTAAATTAAAATCGCTATAAGATACTTCAGAAATCGGGAAAGCTCATTTCCCACCATTTAGAAATTAACATTTTCACGGGAAGAACTCGAACCTCCCTTTTCTCTTTGGGTTCATTGATTCATTATAATAATTTTCAAGAGGGGAAAACCTTGAATTTTGAAGAACTTAAAAGTAGTTAAAAGACACCTCAGAGGTCGGGAAAGCTCATTTCCCGACTTCTAGGAATCAAAATTTTCCCTGTGGAGAACCCCCGGACCCCCCTTTCTTTTTGGGATTTATGGGTTCATGGGAAGAAAATCGTATATGCAAATAGCCTACTCAATTTTTTAAATGTTCGTATACACACATAAGGCATATCTACTGTAATAACAATGGGATAAATTTATCTGACCGTTTTCAAGAGGGGGCAGACTTTGAATTTTAAAGAACTTAAAAGTAATTTTAAGACACCTCAGAAGTCGGGAAAACTCATTTCCCGCCTTCTAGGAATCAAAATTTTCCCGGGGGAGAATCCCCGACCCCCTTTTTTCCCCGATCTTTTGGGGATTTATCGATTCATGAAAAAAAAAAATCGTATCCAACTACTCATTTTTTAAAATGTATTTATACACACATAAGGCCTATTTACTCTAATAACAAGTGGAAAAATTTACCTGACCGTTTTCAAGAGAGGAAACCTTGAATTTTAAAGAACTTAAAAGTAATTAAAAGACACCTCAGATGTCGGGAAAGGCTCATTTCTCGCCTTCTAGGAATCAAAATATTCACGGGGGAGAACCCCCCGACCCCCCTTTCTTGTTGGGATTTATGGATTAATGGAAAAAAAATCGTATGCAACTACTCAATTTTTTTATGTATGTATACACACATAAGGCCCATCTACTGTAATAACAGGGATAAATTTACCTGACTGTTTTCAAGAGGGGAAAACCTTGAATTTTGAAGAACTTAAAAATAATTAAAAGACACCTCAGAAGTCGGGAAAACTCATTTCCCGCCTTCCAGATATCAAAATTTTCACAGGGGAGGACCCCCGGACCCCCTCCACGCCTTTTCTTTGGAGCTTATCGATTCATTAAAAAAAAACGTATGGAACTACTGATTTTTTATTTTTATGTAGGACTATGTATACACACATAAGGCCTATTTCCTGTACTAACAATGGGAAAAATTTACCTGACCGTTTTCAAGAAGGGGAAACCTTGAAATTTGAAGAACTTAAAAGTTATTAAGACTTATTAAGTCTGAACTCATTTCCCGCCATCTAGGATTCAAATTTTTCCGGGGGAGAATCCTGGAACCCCCGCTCCTTTTCTTTGGAGCTTATCGATTCATTGAAAAAAGAATATGTATGCAACAACTAATTTTTTTTTTTTTATGTATGTATACACACATAACAGGCCTATTTACTGTAATAAGAATGAGAAAGTTTACCTGACCGTTTTCAAGAGGGGCAAACCTTGAATTTTGAAGAACAAAGTCATTAGAAACCTAGCTCAAAAGTCGAGAAAAAGGTCATTTCCCGCCATCTAGAAATCAAAATTTTCCCGATCCCCTTTCCTTTTGGGAAAAATGTTGACCCCCCCATCCCCTACGTTTTTCCCGATCTGCATGATTCATATTCCCATTCATCTTATAAGGGGCCCCCCACCCCACTTTGAAAAACGTTCCGCCGGCCCTGAATTTTACACACATTATTTAAATGTATTTTTGAATTTATTTAAATGTATTTTACGTATTAGACGATAACACGATTCCACCACCCTCGCATCGCAGTAACGTTACTCACGCGAATAATTTTTTGCACTTTATTCTGGGGGGACGCTTATGAAAACGGGGCGCTTATGAAAACAGAGTGGAAATTGAAGGGGCGCTTATGGAAATAGATGAAAATCGAGGGGTTTTTATGGGAAATTATTAAATTCAAGAGGCACTTTTTGAATGAAAAAACCACAGTGCGGCAACACGAAATGTGCTGTACATACATTCATCGCTACTGACTGATTTGAATGTGTGGTTTAATACACATAAAAGCAACTTGTAGCCTACATTTATTTCCTGTAGTATCTGATCTAGACTAGGGCCTATGCCTCCACACACGTACGTACCCAGCCAGCCTATTCGTCTTCGTCAGGCCAGCCTGCATTACAGTACATTGACACAAAATGTTCTGCACACATACACTCATCGCTACTAATTTGAATATTATGTGGTTTAATACACATAAAAGCAACTTGTAGCCTACATTTCCTGTTATCTGATCTATTACACACACGTACTACCCAGCCAGCCTATAGGCCTAGTTCGTCTTCCTCTAGCTCTAGGCCAACCTGCATTACAGTAGTGTACATTGTTTATCTCTCAGGGGAGAGACCACCCACCCTTGCAAGCACCACAAAACGGCTCATTCTTCGCTGCCAACTAGACTCGTGCAGACGCATTTATTAGCCGCAAATCTTACCATTCCAGGCCGTGATTGGTTGATAAACACAATGTGGAATCAGGCGATTTGCAATCTGATCAATGACGAACACGCTTTCATAGGAAACCCACCGTAGTGTTAAGAAATATGA